AAATCAACCAGAAAAATGAGTTCGCGTGTCACCTCTGACACACGTGTCATAGCTTCGCATCACTGAGCTAGGGGCTTGCAGACCCCTTTCTCCCCAAGCACGTCCGTTTTCCAGGCTGACCCCCCAGGGAGACCCCTGGCTGTTCTCTGGCTCCTGCCCTCTTCCCTGCCGCTCAGGGGGCGCCTCTGGCTGGCAGGGCCCGGGCTGGAGTCTGCCTTGCTGTGGCCGCTCCTGAGCCCGTGGCAGAGGGCGAGGACGAGGCTGTGCCGCGCAGCGGGCATCTCCAGGGGGCTGCGTGACTCCCATCTCCCCCCGCACCCCTGCCGCGCTTATGTAACTGAGGCTGGGAGCACAGCGCCGCAGCTGCACTTTGGAAACTTGGAGGAAGTTCAGGGCAGGCTGAATCAATCAGCAGAGCCCCCGCCCAGGGCAAACACACGCCTGGGCTCCATTGAAGATTGGATGTGACCCCACCCAGGCCTGCAAAGACACATGCTTGCATTTTAGAGGAGAACAAAGGGCTAATCCCCAGAGCCGGGCTCTCAGGGAGCAGAGGCCTGATTATGCTGCACCCGCATTTGAATACTGTTTTGGTCTCACACAACCTGGGGGTGGGGGTGGGGGGTTGTGCCAGGGCTGAGTGGGCGGGAGAAGGGCTGAGCGGGTGGGGAGAAGGCCCTTAAATGCATCCCTGGAGACGGGTGTACACTCCAGGAGCGCCAGCCACCGGAGACTGTCAGAGGTAACCCTTTCCTTCCAGGGTCTTTCCTCTTCCCGGGTGGGGTGCCTAGCGGGAGCCGGCCCTGCTAGCGGGTCCTTCTCTGCGGCTGACCCTCCCCACCCCCCAGGAGTGTCCAATGAGAATCCTCAGATCTGGGATCCTGAGGATCCAGAGCCCACCTCCGGCAGCTCTGCCACCCCCAGCGCTGGGAGGGGGCACCCCGAGGACTGGAGAAGCAGGGAGCCAAGGGGATGGTGGGTGAGAAGCCCCAATTCCCTCCCCCAGAAGGTGGTAGAGCTCAGCAGTAAAAGGCGTGAGCAGAGGCTAGAGATAGAGGCGGGTGCAGCCCTAAACTTTTCTCACTTGCTGACTGAAGAGCATCTAATGCCTCTTGGGCTTTTGCTGTCCCTCCTCTATAAAGCGGACCCCTAACAGCTTCCGGAGGCTTTTTGAGGATCAGAGGGGA